CGCGCATGGCGTGACCCGCAGTGTCAGGCCGGAATGTGCACTTTCACACAGACGTCCGTGCGTGCATCTGCGACGTATTGTGGCGCCAAACGGGCTATTTAAGCTCAGCCCTTTCATGTCTCCAGTGCCGAGTACTCTTTCAGCTTGTGCCCTGTATCCTGTGCCTGTTCCTTGTTGTATCGATTATTGTTATTGACCCCGGCTTGCTCCTGACTCCGCTGACCTTCTGGTATCCTGACCCTGGCTTGTCTAGACGATTCTCCTGCTTCCTGCCTGTTCCTGCATTGCCCGCATGTTACCAAACCCGGCCTGTGACCCGACCACGAGTTTGCCTACTGCTAACTGCATTGCCCGCTTGTTACCAAACCCGGCCTGTGACCCGACCACGAGTTTGCCTACTGCTATACAACCTCTCTGCCTGCACGTTGCTGACCCGGTCTGCCTGACTTCGTTTACTCTCTGTCTGCCTCCTTGCTGTGCGTTTATATTATCTCTCACAGCCAGAGACCGTACGAGTGACCACCTGGTACCGGAGTCCTCATCCAGGCACTCGTGCCCCGCTGTGCCCCAGAGTACCTGTCTTCTCTATCAGGCCTTCTGGGACCAGAGTTGCAAGAGAGGGGCCGCCCTCGTCATCTCAAGCTCCATCAGGTACGTGACAGGCTCACCGGAAGTGATGCTATCCAAAAGGCTCACAGGAAGTGATGCTATCCAAAAGGCTCACAGGAAGTGATGCTATCCAAATAATTTCCTTCACTATTAAACCCAGACTCCACACCTACTCATTGCTGGCTTGTCTCTTCAACCGCCCTGACGTCTCCTGATCCTTGTTTCCAGTACCATTGATTATCGACCCGGATTGACTTTGACCTTGTTTGCCTGCAGCCTGCCTTTGACCTCGGAACGTTTGACCATTCTTGTTTGCCTATACCCTTCACCTCGGATTGCTTCACTGGACTGCCTACGCCTTCTCCTTTTGTACTTGCTCTGCCTGCTCAGTGTGACCTCAGCCTGTTGACCTCGGATATCAAGATTTACAAGACCCTGCCACAAAACCAAGGAGTGGCCTGCACGGTGGAACCGCCTCTGGCCCTCCTGCCACTCACTGTCTATAAGGACTCTGTCCCCAATACCAGAGTCCCTAGGACACGAGCTGCAAGGGAAGCCTCCTCCTACATCCAGTCTCCGCACAGGTACGTGATAACGACTGTTGGATTGATTTACTAAAGGCAAATAGGCTGTTCACTTTGCAAGGGAATTTTCCCTTAGCTTAGTGAATATGGTGGAATTTCAAATTTGCAAAGAATACCCAATCAAGTACAAGGAAATTTTAAAAAACTTTTTTTTTTTGCTTAGACATGACTGAATGATGGAAGTCATAGTCAAAGTGAAACTTCCCTTGCAATGTAAACAGCTTATTTGCCTACAGTAAACCATGATCCCTAGCACAATGTCTACATGCTGTAAGCTTCTTTCCCTTGACACTAACCCCCATCAATCAGCAATCCAACCCCAAAGAACTAGAGGCTAAGACATTTTGGTAGAGCTTTAATGGGGGCAGGGCTCAGCAGCGAATCAAAGAAGTTGAGACCTTCCAGAAACACAAACTTTTTGAAGGATTTGCTAATTACCTGACCTATTTTTTAGTTCTAATACTTAAAGGAGAACTATGAGGTGAGTGCTTTTCACTCACCTCATAGTTCTAGCCGACCTGTGACAATGAGACTGTCACAGGTCGGCTAAGTAGATCGGGAGGTGAGCGAACACATACCGGCGTTCGCTCACCTCTTGATCCTGTCACGGCTCTCTGCCGTTACAGGGGAGGGGCTGGATTCCCCCTCCCTGCTCTGATCCGCCAGTGCTGACTGGCGGAACGGACGGGGGAGGGGGCGGGTACAGCTGGCTCTGCCTCTGCCTCTAGATAGGCAGAGCCAGCTGTCAGTCACGCAGCTGGGTGGATCCCGGCACAGTTGTCGGGATCCTCTTCAGCTGCGGTGTCTCAGTATACAGCGAGCAGCAGCTCGCGGTATACTGCGGCGCCTCAGTATACCATACTGAGCCTAGGGTGACGGGAGGACGCTAGTTTGTGTCCTCCCATTTCCCTAAGGAGAACTATGGGGAAAAGCCTTAACCCCATAGTTCTCCTTTAATACTAAAATCAGTCTGATGAGGACCCACAAGTTCCTCAAATGATGTTGACACGGGTGGAATTAATAAGAATGCAGAGAGTGCAGACACTGCTAAGCCTGTAATGCTGGATGGGATCTGCATTTTAAAAGTCATGCTACTTAAAGTACTAGAGACTTCACTAGTTATATATGTACTGTATTGGGAGGCTTACAAAAACACCTAATGTTGAATAAAAGGTAATCTTCAAATCAGTTGGAATAAACAAATATAGTGGCCTTTAATTTAGGAAAATCCCAATATGTTCTTATTAGGTACCGCTGCTTTTTGCTGTAATGGGGAAGTGAGTCCAAAGCTCCACCCACCACTTGATATGCACCATAATCCATCAGCTCTGCCTCTTACTAAAGAGACTGATTGACAGAACTCTGTCTACATAGTGACATCATGTACATTGAGTTCTGTTATATAGACTCCTGAGTGTTTACAGTGGCTTTGGGTGCATGATGGGTGATCGATTAGGGAGGGGTGGTGACAAGTTAGAGAGTGGGGCAGGCCAACAAAAGTGCATGCAGGTGCTGCCTGATGTAGAAAGCAGTGTGAGGGAGTGGTGGACCTAGACTGCATAGTCTCCAGCAGTCTCTGCAGTTTAGTGGACCTCAACTGAATAGTCTCTCCTGCACAGTCCCCAGCACTCAGCTTAAAATGTACACCCTACTAAACACCATAGGTATCCCTTTTCCACACTGATGACCGGTGTTTACCCCCCTCCCCCACACTGAACAACTGTGCCCCCCCAACCACAAATAATAAACACCAGTGATTTATCATCTCCCCACCCCCACAACTGAATGCCAGTGTTTTTTTTTTTCTTTCCATGGACAATGGCATTTTATCCTCTCAATGATCGTCGTCACAGAGTTTTTTTCCTCGTACTGACCACTTACAATGGAGAATTGTTTCCGCTTATTGACCACTGTTACCAGAATATTTTATCTTTCCGCTGATGCTCGATCATTTTTGCTTCCTAATGACCACCAATAATGGGTATTTGTTTCCTTTCACTGACCACTTTAACAGGAGCATTTTTTTCTGACCACTGATACTGGGACATAATGACTACTGGCACCAAGGCATTTTTTTCACCAAGTGACCACCAATACTGTTATTTTCTGTCCACTGGCTAACAATATAAAGGGCACTATGACTCCAAAAAGCTATATTCCAGACATTGTCATATGTATTGTTAATACAATAATGTATTTGGGCCCTAGGAACTTTTTCTTCTTGCAATTAATGCTGTCAAAATACCAAGGAGAAATGTATCAAACAAATGTATTGGAAATTGATGATTGAGAAATAAAAGCATGGGATGGCTAAGTGAAGTTTTACAGTGTACAAAGGAACAAAGTGACACAATCGAAAATGTGATTTTAAAATGAAGTTGTAATGGTTAGTTCAGCAAATTCAAGACACCACCTCAGAGTTCAAATGAAGAGAAATGAAATGCAAGCAGTCTTCTTTCTAGTTTAAAAGCGACAACGTCATAATGGTATGAGCATGCAATTTTATAAAGGGCTAAATCAGTGGAAAGCATATATTTTTCCCTAATATGTTACCTAATTATTTTAGTAATACGGTAATTACTACAATATTTTATCTGTAGATTACAACTTGACTAAAGCACTGCAAATTAGAGATAAAGGAACATAGTTTTGTAAAGACTTATATTACTTGTTTTTTTTTTTTGTCTGATTATCTAGAAGGTATAAGCAAGTTAGTTTTACAGCTTATTTGTTTTGCTACTGTTGACTATTTAATATACACTACATTTATATATTTAATAGTATTAATATTGGAAGTAACAGATGAGCCAAAAGCATATAAATGTAATCATTACCTGCCTTGCTTAAAATAAACCTTTCTGGTGAGAAACAAGGACTGAACTCTCAAATGTTAGTTGTTTGGTTGTAATACTGACTGTCTTACTTCAATATTCGGAGTCATTGATCTAGAAAAAGTAGGCAGATAAGAGTGTCTGACCATTCTGATCTGTGTATATTCCAGGTTAAAGACTTAGAAGTACTGAAGTCTGTAAATCCGCATAATAGCTAGGGAACTTCCAGGTAGAAGGAGGTCAGCAAGAGCATCCCCTATTTTTCTCAGAAAGGTTTGCTTTAAGCTGCTAGGATCAGACAATGCCCACATATTTTCCATAACTTTGATTAGAATGGGCAAAGTCACAGAAAATGGAGCCATACCTGCAGATTATCTACAGGAAAGGTTCCTTTTGTAGAATTTCTGTTAATAAAAGTGCTTGCATTGAGCTATTACCAACTTTTTTCCCAGATAAATATCTCTACATATATCGTTCACTGAAACGGTTTCCTTTGCTACCTGGAGCCCCTATCTGTCAGATCTGGTCATCATCTTGGATAAGTCACTAACTGCCGAGAACGAGACGACTCATAACTCAGGCAAGCAACTTTAATCATTTCATTCAACCAACTTAAATGAGTAATGCTGGAACATCTGGCTGCTTTTATATTTCAGAGCTCTAATAATCAAACACTGATTGCTTAAGATTTATGGATGCTGCAACTAACAAAAATGTACATTAATTAAGAGTCAATTAATTACAGGTAATAACATTTTTCAATTGTTGTTTAAAATATTGTGAAGGCATTCTTTTAGATGATACATTATGAAGGTTCCCTTATAGTTTGTTAACAGTACTATCCTTCACACTTTGCAAAGCAAATGTGGAAGCATTATGGATCGCTTTATGTCTGCTTAGATCTACATAATAGGAAATTAGTGCTCACTTAATTTGTGTCTTTGTAACACACAATAAATTAGAGTTGTCGACTGACCTAGTAGTCTTTTTTTGAACTGTTGCAATCCCACTGTGATTAGTCTGAGTTGCATATCTGGCTGCCAGACTGTGTGAGAAGAAACATAACAATTAAGTAAAAGCATTTCCAACAGCATGCATGCAGCAAAACATAACACACTATGCAAATGAGTGGATAAACACACTATCAGGTACACAGTGATAATTCCACGCTGCAATGTATAAATGTAATAGTACAGCCAGGCATGATAGGTTGACAACGGAATATCAATGATCTAAAGTTAATCAAATTGATGACAAACAAAATAAATATGATATGCTGTTCAAAGGTTACAGTTTGTAATAAAATACTGTGATAAATGAACATGAAAACCGTAAATATACTACAAGAAAGAGTAGCATATGACCCAACTGTGTTCTGTAACCAAGGTTTTAAAAATGGTTTACATTTTGAACTCAAGCCTTAGGAAGGGAAGGCCCTTCCCCCTAAAAACCTGTCTAAGGCACCAATCTGCAGCCTAATTTTGTAACCAACAGTGCCACAACATTACTTTTGTGGTTGATCCATAATTCTGTGGTTGGAAATAGCACTCTTTCTCTGACTTAGTTTATCAAGTAAAAAAGTCATAAAGAAGGGCATGGTGGTCTTCTCTAGATACACAAAGGTCTGGTTTTAAAAACCTTTAACTAGACATCTTGGACATTTTCTGGCATGTTGACTTCACTAAAGGCATCACATGTGGGGAATACAAGATCATAGGTACTCATGGAGACCAAAACTCTTCCATGCTACCAGTTATTGTATGTTGCTTAAACTCCATGTTACCGCCACTAGAGAGCATGTAAATAAATATTAAGCAGTGTACTTGAATGTAAGAAAGCAGATTTCTTGTATGTATTCTTAGCTTGACAATGTTTGCTACTTTGCAGTTGTAACCTTATTTCAGAACATTTCCTTTATGAATTAAATATTAGGTTAGTAATCCGTTTCGTTTTGCAGGAGAAATGCTGTGACATGGAAGTAATAGTTTTAATGCAAACATGTCTATACTTCTTACCTTTGACAAATATTCTTAGAATAATTACAAGAATAACGTAAACAGAGAATGCCCTCTATCAGGAAGGAAGCATATCTTATCCGTACAACCATAATACGAGAAAGGTAATGTACAATCAGCACCTTTCATGACTGCTGGTTTGTATCAAAATACTTAGAAAGGAAATGGCTGGATTTTCAGATGTTTTATCTAAACAAGAGACTTAAAGCCTTCTTCTCATTGCTACATGAAAATGAGTAACACAGTTAAATAGATACATTTAATAAACCAGTACAAGGAGCAAAGTAAATACCAGAGTTCTTACAGCAACCAATTAAAATCCATATTTTCGAATTTATCTGCAGCAAAATAAAAATCGGATTGGCTGCTATGGGTTGCTCTCTTGGAATTTGGCTATTGGCACTCTTTATTAAACATAGTGTATATAATTCAAATGATCATAAAAGGTAATGAATTAAATATTAAAACATTACACTGTTAAAAACAGGCTTCAACACAGGTGTTCCTTAATGTGTTTCTGATCTTTAACATCTTTTATAAAAATGTTGCTCATTATTCACTCTAATATAAATACAGAAACAAAACTGTCCCCGAAAAAACAATTAAGAAAAAAGGGATAAAACAGAAAAAGTTTGAGAACATTTGTCTCCATAATTCCAGGCCCCTTCTTATCTAAAACAGAGGGCATTGAAAGACAGGTCAACTGTCTTTTGTCACTCACAAAGCAAGCGAGTACATTTGCTTCCTTTGTGAGTGGCAAAATTGTCTCAATTTTTATTAATGCAATACTAACTGCTTTAGGTAGTTGAAAATGTGCACAGTCTGACAACAATACTGTAAGTAGACTGCAAATTACTTGAGGAGAGGTGGAACTCAAAAACTGAAATGCTTTTGTAGTAATTTTGTATAAGATGTATACACATGAACATAATAGAAAGTCCATATAAAATTAAAGGGCATTCTTAGAGGTGGCGGTTTGTTTAAAATGAAGGTCATAAACAAAAATAATACTAGGAACTAATACTCAAAATATAAATCCTGAAATATACCGGACAAAAAAAAAAATCATAATCCATATATCTTAGGTTAGACTTTTTTGTCTGCACCAACATTTTCATAGTGAGAAACAGAAAGGGGTATAAAAAGTGAAATAAATTATGTGCCTAATTTCACCACTCTAACTGCAGTGTCAGCTCCATGACATTACAAACTTTTACCTTCTGAAAAGGGAATTTGGCAGTTTTCCAGAACCAGCAGCAGACACCATGTGGGTGACTTCAAAGCAAACTCATTTTAGATAAACGGATCAGTACTTTTCAAAGGAAATATTTTCATGTGAGAAACATGGAAGCTGGATTCTCATTCTGCAAATTCTAGTTGCCTGGCTTTAATGCTAATCATCTGGCTTCAGCAGTTTCTGAGCCATGACCTGGAGTTCTGATTTTTCTGACCTGTTCCTGGGTAAGAGTATTAAAGCCAGAGGGTCAGCCTAGTTCCAGGTAACATTTTCAGAAGGAAGTCAGCAATGGCAGCATATGTGTTTCTCTGAGAAAATAAATGATTTAATGTGTTTGGTCTGGACAAGTCTACAGACAAGAATATTGATACAACAGTAAAGTTCATCCAAATAGTTTTACAGTATGTATGTGGGTTTTTTTTTACCTAAATTTGATCACTTTGAGAACTTATGTTAATGGACATCAAACTCAGACACAAGCCAAAAGCAGCCAGTAGAATGCATGATTTATATATCAAGGCATTGAGATGCCATAAGTACACAAATGTCATTGCCAGTATGTGAATGGTTTTCTTGGGCATTCCCTATTCAGGTTCAATTTTCAGAATCTTCACGATGCACCCAATACAATATCACTGCTAGTCACAATCTAGTCCAAACAATCAGACAAAATCATGTATATTTCCATACTTAAAATGCACCCAATAGATGTAAAGTATTCTTCAGTACATTTTAGTCATAAGAAACACACTTCTTGGAGGAGTTTTTAAGCAAAGGGAAAAGTTAAAAACAATTATATTCCAGGTAGAGAGAAGATATTGCTTTTGAGTTCTTGTTCCAATAGCAGTGCCATACCTTGACTGCATATCTTGTTGCGTTTTGAGCTGACTGCCTTCGGCAGGAGGGGGGGAGTGAGACACGTGTTGCTGGAGCTCCACCAATGACTGATAATACTGTTGCTGTTGATGCTGCTGCTGTTTAAAACGGGATAGACTGAAAAACAGTCCTAAAATGGCTTTCAGATTTCCATTCTTTATTTCTGTAATAAAAATATACACCAAAATAAGTAAACAATAACTATTGTAAGTAGTGCAATTTTTTTTACTATCGTTACACTTCCAATAATGGCAAGAATAAGTTATTTCATTGTGTTTCTCCTTCCGTAAATGCTAAAAGTTAGCTAAATCCCAAACTATTTTTTTAAGTTTTTAAAAGAACAGAAGCGTTAAAATCCTTTTCAGATTACATTGTTCCCTGTGCCACCACAGGGGACAAAACATGATGAAGTGAGATCTTCCAATGGGTATCATTGTTTTGGTGACAACTAAAGAGTTTTCTTTCACTATAGAGAGATGTCTTCTCACTTCCAGTACAGGAAGCAAACGACAACCTCCCCAATAAAACACAAATAGACACAAAGCACACATGAGTTTAAAGCAACTCTGTCATTAGCTTCTCATAATAAATTACAAATTCAAAATATGGAGCCACAAGCAATTAAAAATGTGATAGCTACATGAAAATTACTGTTAGGTAAATATTACAGGAACTCAAAATATCTATTTGCATAAGTACACAATTACTAAAGAAGATCATTCAATGTTTTGCGTTTGGAGGAAGAAATTGAGAGAGTACAGACAGACAGCACCATTGCTGACCTTTTCTTGAGGTAACCAAAGCAGTTAGCAGAACCAGTAACTACTTCCATTGTGGATAGAAAGTCATTGGTGTCCACAGCAGATACCCACTGACATATTGATGGTAACCTGCTTTGGCCCAAGAGCTCTGGCTGGATCAGGCAACAATTATCCTATGCCTATGGATATATACAGTATATACTGTACATTATTTAAATTCACCATTGACTGATAAGGAGCTCTTTGATGCTAAAATAAATATAGATTATCTTATGAAAGAGAACTTACCAATATGCATGTAACATTTTCCAAACCTGAGATTTCTGACATCAAGTTAGCACTTTCTGGTCTATATAAGCACTTAAGAGTTGTAAGAACAATTCTGATGGTAAATGTTTTAGCTCTCTTGGATTCCAATTGAATCCAATCAGAAAAATGCATGCATTTTGGTTGGAATATTTATAAATAGATGTCTAATGCCTTATTCACATTGTTGTTGTGAATGGCAGCCCAACATACCTTCTCAATGCACTTACGGTGCCAAAGATTCTCCACGGTGGTATGTTATTAGGCAGCCCATTCAAATGAATGAGCTGACGTAATTCAATGAACACCAACATGCAGCATGACCTGATGCAGCGTGACACTGTGAATGGAACCTAAGTGTTTATGTTCACTGGCCCACTAAAAAGGGAGACATTTTGCCAGAATAAACATCATTAACAACATTAGTGAACCTACATAATATATGGATGTGCACATCATATTAAAGTGAGAGCTATAGCAGTTCTAACAATTAACACATCATCCCTTTTGAAGTTAAGGATAAATATCTACTAGCTTATGGAAGTCCACTGACATCTGGGACTGGACCATGTATAGCAATAACTGTACGTTGTACAGAACCCACTGAAACACAGTCAAAAGACCTCTCTAAGAAGGTACATACTGCAATAACTATTTTCTGGACTCTAAACCAGAGCAGCAAAACTGAAGCAATTTAGCTTCATCATGAGTTATGTCAGTATGTTGTCTGGAAGTTATAGAATGCTAGCTTCTATCTGAGGCTTTTTGCACAGGTACTATGCTTCACTACAGAGCCAGAGAAATTATGGGATCTACAGAATGGTCCATTCAAAATGCACATGTATACCAAATATTACTTTGTATATTTATTTTAAAGCACCCTGCCTAAAGTCCTCTTTTAAGGCAAAAGTGTCATGACAGACACATGGAAGCTGCCATTACTGGCCTTTCTCTGAAAAAACTTTTTGCCATGACTGTTATGCTGAACCTCCTACCTTCAACCATTTATAAACAAGTATGAGGACAAGGAAAGTTGGAAGCCTTTATCTGAACAATGTCAGTGACTGAAGTATTGAAGCAAGCGGCTCAGCATGACAGCCAGATTACTAGCATTTTCAGAAGGAAAAGTCATCAATTGCAGCCTCTGCGTTTCTTTCATGCATTATATACTTCTATGTGCACAGTGGCTATATTGCAAACTGCATGTGGTATTATTATTTTGTTTGCAAGCTCAATGCTTAGAGGCACACCAGCCACGGCATATAAAAGGAATACAAATCAACATAAAGCAGAAAGTTATGCTAACATCTCACCTCGGTGTGTTATGTGTCATATCATTCTCTGCTCACTATCAAAATATTTTTCATGTAACTTAGGTCAGTGAATTGAAAATGTAAAGAAGCCAGCTTAAACTTGTCAAGACTCCTGTTTGTTTTTAAAAGATTATACATGGCCTCAGTTCCCCGCTATTTTATTCACTGTCCTCCAGAGAACTTCTGTTGTCCATACATGACCTGTAATAAGTCGTGTGTGAAGGTACTCAGCGTTTATTCATTTTTATCTAAACATAACTCTGAAACACAACACTCTTAATCCCAAACAGACCTCCACCTTAGTCATGCAGTTTGGATTTATGTTGAAAGCTCAAATTAAAATCACAATGTGAGCTAAAGAAATTAAAAGATGAACTCCCAGTGACCAACCTGTACCAAATCTGCACAAAGAAGTATTGGACCTATACTCAAAAGTTAGCTATCTTGCAGAGATGGGCACGTAAAAAATGTTAGAATGGCTGGAATATTTGAAGTGTATGCAAGCCCCATGTTTTTCAGCATGTTTACTATATATCAATTTTTCTTAAAGGAGAAGTGCAGGGAGAGTAAAGGGGAGTAAAGATATACGTGCAGCTGTCACAACCAGCTCTAAGACCTACTGGCTCTAAAGGCCAGTAATGGCAGGTCTAATCATGTAACTGTTGATCGCTCAGCTCAGGGTTTTTTCCCTGCAGAGAGCATTGAGCGCTCCCCTCAGGGATTCCCCTCTCTCCTGACTGTTCCTCCAGCACTCATTGGCAGGGCAGGCAGGGGAGGGGCAGGCATAGCTGGCTCTAGCTCTAGAAAGGCAGAACCAGCTGTCAATCAGGCAGCTGGGTGAATCCTTACAAAGTTGTTGGGAAACATCCCGGCTACATCGCAGCTCTGAGCTGTCAGCTTATAGCAGGCAGTAGCCCGCTTTCTGCTGGTTTTGTATTAGTTAGTAGAGAAGTAAACCACAAATTGTTTGACTTTACTTCTCGTTTAAGCATTTTTTTTTTATCTGATGCAAAGTTTCTTAGCTGTACATCCTGGCAGTAGCAGCACTTCATGTTGCAGGCTAACAATTCATTGCCTTGCAATTAGCACAAACCGCAATGTTGTCATCCTGCCATGCATGCTCTTAAATTGGCCGTTGGTCTATCAGTTAGCCAGCCCAATGGCCAGCACATACTGAAGGTTTACAAAAAAACCAACATGAATGTGTTGTTACTGGAAGGATCTCCAAACATGTTTCTGATGAATGTGTTGAAATGAGTGATTTATTCACATGCAGTGAATGTTTGGTGGATGTCCCATTCATTGCCCCTTTGTGTTACTATAACAGATCAATTTGCAGAATGGTATGTTTTAATTGGTTGGTTACAGGTGTGGCTGGATCCACCTTAGTTATTTTAGAAGATGAATAGACAGATTTGATGCATGTGTCTGGACTCCAGAGAGCATGCATATAAAATACTACAAAACAAAGCAGTTTGACTATTTTTTATCTTGATCATTTTATTGGTTGGTATTTTTTTGCTCTTAATGTGGCCCCATTTTTTAATGTTATTTGATCAATATTTAAACAAAAAGAGTAACAGAAATTCATACTTATCCTGGAGAACATGCTGCATCAGGTTGGATAGAAAAACCCTCCTACTGTATAATAGGGTCATAATAGGGTTATTAGGATAAAAAATACAGAAATTTAGTGAAAAGCAAAGAGACAATCACATGAGCATTTTTTTTTTACTATTTAGAAAGATAAAAATCAGGGGTTTGTTTAGACCCCTAATATTTATGTGAAGTCCCAGAAAAGTAAAAAAAAAAAAAAGAAGATCATTAAAATAATAATAAAAAAATAGTTAAACATCCACCCACCCCCTCCCACACACACATATAACATGTGGGGTAGGTGGGTGCAATACTTGCCTTGCCCTGGGTGCTGACAACCCATGCTATGCCACTATTGGCGATAACAAGCAACAATTCAATTTGTTTGCTGTTTAAAAAAAACAGAGCTGGCTACATCTTGTGTAGCTCTTAAACTGCATGTGTTATATTAGTGTATTACTTGTCTTACCCATACAGCAAAAATGAACCATCTGCTATTACACACAGAAGGCTAATCCAGCCTTATGATCAAAAATCAATCAAATATCTATGTAGATTGGAGTCCATTGAGAACTTCAGATCAGGGTGCCCCTTACTGAGTACCCCACCTTATCGCCTCAAATTGTACACAGAATTACACCTAAGTTAATGCAAAATACACAAAGGGATGGGTGGTGGTATTAGTAGCCAGAGCAAAATGACACTTTGCCATATATTCTCTACACTTAGTTAAGTGATCTGTGATATCCTAACAACAGCAGGAAGGGCAAGGGAGTGCATCACTGCCCTGCTCTCCTGCTACTTATTCTGCATTATTGTAACAAACTGTATACACTTTAAGACAAAAAAAGTGTGGAGGTTGGCAGAAATTATAGTGATGGAGATATACGCAAAAATATTCAGTTCCTGCTTTATTAGGATGTCTAACAGATGGTAATCCAGGGTACAAATATATATTCAACTAAACATTTACATGATGTATTATTTCAACACCTTTAAACTTAAAACCATCTTCAGTGCTGTTTAGGAAACTCCAGATAGGATATCTACATAGGCAACACATTCAAAAGATACCTATTTGAGCATAACTAAATACACTGATGCGTCAGTTGGTTGAGATTTGTTTTGTTAAAGGTAGCTGCTCTAAAAAAAAGATTAAGCATTATTGAAAAAGCGGCTACATTTCA